TGGGGGGGAGCCGGGCTGTGCGTTCGGGGGTCCTGGGACCCCCCCTCACCCTGAACTCGCTGAGCAGGGGGTCCGTGCTCTGCTTCACGTTGGAGAGGTCGAGGCGCCGCTGGTAATCCTTGAGCTTCTGCGGGGGGCACGGGGGGGATTTTGGGGCATCCTGGGGGGGCTTTGGGGGGTCCCAAGAGGTCTGGGAGAACGGGACGGGACGGGGGGAGGATTTTGGGATTCCTCAGAGGGAGAATTCGGGGATGCCGCCGGGAATTCGGGAGGATTTTGGCACCGAACCCGGGGGGGGTCCCACGGAGGATTTGGGGGGGGTCCTGGAGGGTCCCAAAGGGTTTGTGGGAAGCACGGGGGGGGGTCTCTGGGGGGTTCCCAGGGATGATTTTGGGGCTCCTCGAATTGAGGATGACCCGCGGCGCTGGCGCCCCCTGCGGGTCCAGGCGAGCATTGCGGGCGGGGATTTTGGGGGCGTTCCGGGGGGGTCCCGGGGGGGTTTCGGGAGGGTCCTACCATGAGGTTCTCCATGTCGCGGACCTCCTGGTTCACGTGGTTGAGGATGTGGCGGCAGCACTCGGCCGCCTGCTCCACCTTGGCCCGCTCGGCCGCAGCCTCTGAGGGGTGGGGTGGGGTGGGGGCATCGTCAGGGCCACAAGGGGCTGCGCCGGGGCTCAGGTGGGTTTTTGGGGTTCTGGGGGGGTCCTCACCTGTGCATTTGGTGATGCTGAGCAGCAGCAGGGGGTACTTGGTGAGGCGCTGCATCTCGGTGGGGATGATGTCCTTGAGCTGCAGCCGGCGGCAGCGGGGGCGGCTCTCTGCCTCCTGCGGGACCCGCACCCAGCTTTTGGGGGGTGGTCCCGACACGTTTGGGACACCCGGGAAGTGTTTTTGGGGTGTCCCAGGGGGTGCTTTTGGGGTATGTGGGTGAACTTGTTAAACCTCGTGTCCTTGAGCCCCCCCCTCCCCGAACCTCCCAAATTTTTTTTCTGTACAATTTTTTGGGGTGCTCGGAGTCCGTTTTTGGGGCATTTCTGGGGGTCCCGGGAGGTGTTTTCGGGGTGTCCTGGGGGTGTTTTTGGGGGGTACCTGAATGAACTGGTTGAACCTGGTGTCCTTCCTCTGCTTGGCCTTGAGCTGCTCCAGGGCGAAGCTCTGGCGGCTGCAGAACCGGGCCGAGATCTTCTGGAACCAGCTGCCCTCGGTGCCCTCGAACTGCGGGGAGGGGGGGGCAAAAGGGACCCCCAAAATCCCGGGGCGACACCGAAACGCTCGGGTGAGACCCCAAGATCATGGGGGGAACCCCACGTGTGAGAGCCACCCTAAAAATCACAGGTGGGACCCCAGACTCCAACGCGAGACCCCCCCCCGCACTCCCATGGATCCGAGCCCCCCCCATTTCCACGCTGGAACCCCCCAA